AGTAGAGTAGAGTAGAACAGAATAGTTGAGATGGAAGTGACCTACAGCAATCATTCAGTCCAGCTGCCACTTCAGGGCTGACCAAAGGCTAAAGCCTGTTACTAAGGGCATCATCCAAATGCCTCCTAAACACTGACCGGCTCAGGGCATCGACCACCTCTCTAGGAGGAGTTCCCATGTTTGACCACCCTCTAAAGAAGTGCTTCCTACTGTCCAGTCTGAACCTTCCAGGGCACAGCTTTGAACCATTCCCACGTGTCCTGGCACTGGGTACTAGAGAGAAGAGCTCAGCACCTCCCTCTCCACCTCCTCCCCTCCGGAAGATGCAGAGAGCGACTGCATTCTTCCAGGGCTAGAATGAGCACGCCCTTAACTCCCAGGCCTTTGGCCAGTGGGTCTCAGGACTGGGAGGACAGTGCAATATGCTCTTTCCATTACTAACTGCCTTGAGGCTACTAGATAAGATGTGCACACACACACACACATCACAGACGGGATGGTGTGATGTTACTGGGACAAAAGGCAAGCCACAAGGCTTGTCCCAGGAGCAAAGGATGACAGATCATGTATTTGCATTGATTTTACGTGCTTTTAGTTACAACGTCAGTTTATTCCAGAACTGAAGACAAAGGACACCAGGGTAGATTCAGCGTGTCCCAGGATGTTAGAGTCTGCGCAGCAGCTGATGGTGGAAGACCTGTACAACCGAGTTAAGGAGAAGATTGATGACACCAGCTTGTTTAACACGCCGTGCGTGATGGACTTGCAGAGGGCACTTGTGAAGGACAGGCTGGAGACCCCCAGGGATGCTGTGGATGAAGTCTGGCCTAATGTCTTCATAGCAGAAAAGTGAGTGTCAGCTTTCGTCATCGAGTTGCGTGAGATTTCCAGTGAAGGGTCAGGTGGAAGCTGAAGGCGTAACATGTATGACGTGCATCTAATAGCTTTCAGCCTGAGAGAACCCCAAAGCGTTTTTCACAATACGCTCACAGAGACCTCTGTGTGCTGTAAAGTAAATACTTCTGCAATACAATCAGCAGCTTTCCTATGCTATTTTGATGCTCTGACAATTGAGGCGAGGAAAAGGCAAAAACGAGACCAAATTACATGGTTCTGATTGGAATTTGGGCCTGAAATTGGGGCTAAAGTCTTTGTTCTGTAGAAAAGAGTTAAAAAAGAAATGCCATAGCATATACCTAGTGGAAACTGTTAGGTCTTCAGTGCCAGCTGCCTGAGACACTGGGCAAGTGACCAGACAGAATTAGAAGCAGGTGTAGTGTAACGCATCAGTTACGGAGTGGTAAAAATTGACAGATCACCAGCCGGAACCTAGGAGGGCGGGTTGAGTTTAGAATCAAGCTGGAGCGTGCAGCTGGACTGGCGAGTGCGGGTTGCTCATTTGCTTTTCCCAGTCAGTACTGGAAAGAAATACCTGTTGAACTCTCGAAGGACATTAAGGTCTGAGAGGAGCTGCGTGTTGGATGAGTAACACAGCCAGGGAGCTCTGCAGACCTTCTAGCAGACGGCTGCTTTCTTGCCCAGAGTAGGAGCCCTGATATACATCTTTCTTTCTCTTCTGAAGAAGCGTTGCAGTGAACAAAAGCCGTTTGAAGAGACTGGGCATCACGCACGTCCTGAACGCAGCTCATGGTACAGGCGTATACACGGGACCAGGTTTCTACAACGGCCTGAATATCCAATACCTGGGCATTGAAGTGGATGATTTTCCAGATATGGACATCTCCAAACACTTCCGCCCGGCTGCAGAGTTCCTTGACGAAGCATTGCTGACTTACAGGGGTAAGAGGAGAGGATGGCAGTGGTTGCAGAATGCTTGGGGATCAATGGGTGGAAGCGTTACTTTGATAAACAGCCGGTGCCACGCTTGTAATTGGGTGGGAGGCAGATACTTTGTCCTCTGCACCCCGTTACGGTGAGCACTGCTTCCTCATTTCTTCCCTGACTCCTTCAAAAGAGGAGGGGGAAAGCTGATGAGAGGAGGTAGCCCAGCAGCCCCTGCTGCCAGCCCCGTGTCTTCACACTCAGGCAGGCTGTGAGCCACCTCCCTCACCTGCTTTGAAAGTACCCTACTGCTGCAAAGAGGTGAAGCCCTGCTCCAATAAATGCCTCTTTTTAATGTCGGTATCATATAATACCGCATACATACCAATGCATACCTGTACGCTGCGAGCTTCAGTTTTGCCAGGATGTGAAAAGAACAGGCTGATTCACTCAAACCATCCAAACAGCCGGGTTGAACCCCTGGATGTCTACACCCAGGCTACTGTATCGTTTGCTGGACCCCAATTCCACGGCAGCCTGTGGACCTCAGGTGCATACCACTCATTTCGTTGCAGCTTCAGTTAGAAATATCTTTATGGAATTCAGTATGAAAACAAACACCACAATCAGTGATACCACTGGTATTCTTCATGTATGTACTTAATGCATTTCATTTGTGTAGAGAGACAACAGGTTACCTCCTAGCAGAAGTGACAGGAAGGAAGGTGAGAAGTTCTGCGAGTACACAAGTAAGGTTGAGCTAATTTTAATAGCTCACCACCACCAAATGACAGCCCGGCAGGGAAGAGATGGTTTTCCGTGGGGTTAGTGAGCTGAAGGGCTGACACAGGAGGGGATGGATGCAGGGAGACAGAGGAGCCGTGAAAGCAAGCAGAGGGATGAGATCTCCCCCTTTTGGTGAGCTGTTAGATAGGCTTCACTGGCTGCTAAAGCACTGGGAAGGCAACTGAGAATTGTCGTGCTAAGAAAGGTGTTAAAAGACGTTTCGGGGTTGTAGGAATAGGTACATTAGGTAAATACTTGCGGTCGCGTATCAGCAGTCAGCTGGTGTTTAAACTAGCTTCATTAAGTTTCAGCGCAAACAGTTTGATTAAACTGGAGTTTATCACTCATTTAGAAACAGTAATTCCAGTCATTTGGAAGCTAGCAAAGCCTATTTACTCTCTCTTCATATTGTTGAGCTTTTCTTTAACTGTAATCTGCTATAAAAGTAACTTAAAACCCCAATTCTTCTGTGCCAAAGCTTAGTTTTCTGCAAGAGGTGGTTTTTGTGTAAATGCCGTGAAAGAAAGCAGATCCTCAGCCCTGATTCTAGCTCCTGCAGTCGCTGTTTGCAGAATGGTGGGTCCCAGCAGTTTGAAGGAGCTGTATCAACTTGGCAGAGTCAAAATTGACACCCTTCTGCTAGGCGCTTGGCTCTCCTGTTCTGAGACACACCGTGACTACGTGTAACCACCTGAGCGTACCTGGCAAAACAGCAGGGCTGGATTCTGGCAAAGATATACATAAATGAATATAAAATTGGATTTAAGTCCTATCGTTTGCCCTATAAAGTTATTTGGTTATCCTCTCAATACCTTCCTGGGGGGCTAATGCTGCTGTCTCCCCTTTTATATATGGGGAAACTGAGTCATGGGATGCTCCAAAGTCTTACCCTAAGTCAGCCAGCAAGTCGAGAGTACCGTATCGCTCAGCTTTCACCCATGATAAGCTTTCAGATTATCTGGGGAAGTAAAGAGTACAGGTGAAAAGACAAATATTATCTCGATTGTTTTAAAAAGGGCCTGCCCACAGCTTTTGAAACTAATGTGCTTTTTATTCATATATATCTAGATTCTTATTATGGCAAAGCGAACAAATCTTCAGTATTGGTTTCAGTCACTGAAACATAGAATCTGTCTGATTTTTAACACTGTTCAGAGAATGCTTTTCTACTACATATCAGAGCAACCTCTCTGTGTTATTGGAAATAGCTAATTACTTTCATATTCGATATCTGTAGGCAAAATCCTTGTCAGCAGTGAAATGGGCATCAGTCGCTCAGCTGTGCTGGTGGCTGCTTACCTGATGATCTACCACCACATGACCGTTCTGGAGGCTCTGATGACTCTCAGAAAGAAGCGTGCCATTTACCCCAACGATGGCTTTCTGAAGCAGCTGAGGGAGCTCAACGAGAAATTGTTGGAGGAACGAGAGTTGGAGCATACTGGAGATGAAGAAGTCACTCCTAGTCAAAGTCCTGTTGTCCATGCAGGGACTTCTTCCCAGTTGTCCAGAGGTGTGGATTCAGAAAGCATCGTGGGAGCTAAAGCTCACTCCATCACGGTAGAAGAAGAGGACTCCAGCAGCTTGCTGGGCAGTCTTATGAGCTCTTCATCAGTGGAAAGAACTAGCTGGGTTTCCAAACACTCCACCCTCATCAGTGAGGAGGAGGAGGAACACTTGTATGAGGAGTGGAGGAAGAAACAAGGCCTGCCTGCAAAGGAGCCAGGGGTTAGCCATGGAAGAAGAGTATCTCCAGGGCTTCTGGATCAGGAAGGGGAACAATCTGAGGAGGATGTGGAACAGAGGATCCATGACTGGCAGTGCAGAAATGAGAAATATCAAATGGAGGGTCCAGCCAGGGAGGAGGATGGAGATTCCAGCATGGGAGGGAGACCTTACGCGTCAGGTGAATTCAGTGATGTTGAGAGCGTGAGCAGTTTTGAGATCCGAACCCTAAAACAACATCTGGAAGCCAGTAGCTTTAGCAGGATGAGGAGGAGCCGCACAGGCTCTATGTCTTCAGAGAGCACCTGGGACATGTGGAACCAGAGGCTCCTGGAGATTGAGAAGGAAGCTGCTCAGAGGTATCGTTCAAAGAATAAAAGCTGTGGGGAGGGACAGTCCCCAGAAACAGGAAGAAAGGAGAGGGACGTGGACGAGGAGAGTGTGTTTTCAGACAGTAGCTCCTTTTACAATTTCTGCCAAAAGAACAAAGACAAGTTGACTCCTCTAGAAAGGTGGAAGGTCAAGAGGATCCAGTTTGGCTTTCACAAGAAAGATCTTGAACCATCATCATCTCCTGCACCATCTCCAGCAGAAGACGGCAGCCCCGCAGGTGGGGAGGGGACAGAAGGGAAGAGTTTGTCAGATATTAACCTGACTGCTTACCAGGCTTGGAAAACAAAGCGGCAGAAGAAGGTGGGCAGTGAAAGCAAGGAGTTGTTTGTGGAGTTTGCCAAAAGTGAGGATTCTGCTTCAGCTAAAAAGAAGCAGAGGCGCATAGAGCTCCTTGAACGTTCAAAGAAAATTTTAGAGGAAAGCCAGTCCATGTGCAGCTGGGAGACAGACAGTACGATGAGTGGGAGTATCCCCCTGTCAGCTTTCTGGTCCTCGGCGCCTTCTGCGAGCGGTGCTGAGGATGCAGCTTCAGCAGTGAGCCTGCAGACAAATCGTTCATCCCTGTCACAGACCAGGAGCAGCACGGGGGCGATGCAGCCTCAGATGCCAAGCGTACCTCTTCCCAATCTCCCAGTTGGCCCAGGTGACACCATATCCATGGCAAGCATTCAGAACTGGATCGCGAACGTGGTCAGTGAAACGATCGCTCAGAAGCAAAATGAGATCATGATGTTGTCCCGCCCCTCGTCCGCAGTGGCCTCCAGCGTCATGTCAGGGGACCTTGGCAGGCGTGCGGATGATGATAAGGTGTCTCTTCTCAGCGCCCAGAGTGGCTCGTCTCTTGCCACCTCGCAGCTTCGCCAGCAGGACACGCACAGGGCCGAGTCTCAGTCTGTCCTGTCTTGCGGTACCTCCGCGAGCACGAGGACGGAAGGGACCAGTTCAGGCGTGAGGACAACCCAGACAAGCAAGCCACTGTACAGCCTCTTTGCTGATGAAGTTGACCTGAAGAAGCTCAATAGGAAGGAGAAGGAGATGCAAATGGAAATGAGAGAGAAGATGTCAGATTATCAAGTCGAAAAGGTGATCAGAGACAATAAACGCAGCACTTTATTCAAAAAAAAGATTACCAAAGGAGAGGATAATGAAACAGAAGATGACAGAGAGGGTACCACAGACAGCCATGGGCGCCCCTTGCAAGCAGAACTTGACAGACCTGATAGGCTCCTTGATCTGTCCAGTCAGGCCGCCAACACAGGTGCACTGAAGTCTGAGACAGAGACCGAAGTTACCAAGTGGCTCAGAGGCCTGAGGGCAGAACGAGAACCACCGTCATATTACGATCAGAGTGAGAAGGCCAGGGGGAGATACAGCAGGTCATCCAAAGTTAGAGAGATGGATTCTGAAACATCCAGTTACAGATTCTCTAGATCCCAAAGGGAAGAGCTAGACAGCTGTTCTTCCTACGAGTCAAATGGAGATTCACTGAGAACCGTGTCAAGATTTTCCTCTGCTTCTGCGAAAGAGGACAGCAAGATGTACAAGTTCTCAAGGTCAAGGGTCAGTGAGACGACAAGTTCCAGAGAAAAGAGCCCAGAGCTGCATGTTTTCAGCCAAACGCCTGAACCATCCTTGGACTCTGAATCACCGGAACCCTCTACACAGAGTCGAGTTAGATCTCACCATGTGGAGGCGTGTGAAGAGGAGGCCAGGTCAGATATGTCAGAGTTTGGAGCTAAGAGAAAGTTCACCCAGAGCTTTTCCAAGTCTGAAGAGGATGGAAAGAAGGAGGCGAAAGTGGAACAAAGCGAAGAAAGATTTGCATCTCGACAGTTCTCTGAGCACAGGCGAAGCATGCGTAAGGAAGAGGAAGAAGAGGTGGATGATGATGCCATTATCGCTGCTTGGAGAAGCCGACTGGAAGAAACTACGGCGAAGCTTCAACGGAGAAGGGAAGAGTGACCAAGATCAGATTGTAGGAACACAAGCAGAGCCACGGAGTCCCTGAATCACTCATCATTATATTTCTGATAATCCTTTGTGGTTTGTAGGGCATTTCCTGCAGATAGTTCTCTTCTTAATCAAAAGCGATAAAGGGAAGAGGTCAAGTTTTGGAAGTGTTTGTGGTTTGTCAGAAAGAAGATGCTAGTGTTAAATGATCAATGTAGGTAGGAACACAATGTTAGAAGCCATTAGGAGCCAGACAACGCTTCAGCAGCAGAAGCAAGTAATGGTGGCACCTCAGTTCAAAAGACCAATCACATCCCATTTTGGTTATTTCAATCTCCTGGTCTCGTTACAGACTGGACATATTTTTTCTAGGATCTTTTTGATCACAAATGGAAGAAGCCTACAGCCTTTTCTAGGAACTTGAAGAATGTTCCTCTCTTAATCAGTTTTACCTTATACCGCCGAGAAGATATTGCCAGGTAGGCTCCTTTTTCTGCACCGGCCTTAGGAATGTCTACCCAAATAAACCAGTTCAGGGCAATCCATGTACTGTTTGACTTCACCACGTAGCGAAGCAAAGTGAAATATTAGAAAAAAGAAGATGCCTCCTTTTTCGAAGTTCAATGCAGTAATGAATGTATTCCTGTTTTCTATTAGATGGAGTCATCTCTGCTCCTGTATGGTTGGTTCCTGCTAATAACTTTGGGTCAACAAAGGAAAAATGCAGTAATATTAACAGCCACCTAAAAATCATGTTCTGATGAAGTTAAAGAGACGGCGTTAGGTGTAGGGTTAGTGTTAGGTTAGGCTGGGTGTCTGAAGTACCGGCTTCAGTTTGGTTTATGTATGCGGCTCAGCTAAGTCTGTGGGTTTATGTCTATGGTCAGATTGTCATGTATTCATTTTCAACACGGTCGCCTTAAAAGTCAAGAGTGATACACAAACTGACCTCATAATAAAATGGTGTATAACCAAAGCATTGGTATAAGGCACCATGCACCTAAGGGCAAACTGTGTGTCTGATGAATGTGGTACCTGGAAGATCGTTTTTGGGGGATGGGAGGTTTAGTTGGCGTGCTGCAGTTAATGCATTATTTGTATCGTGAGCCCACTTTTCAGAGGGAGTGGAAGAAGCAGTCTCCACGTTAACCAAGTGGCACCAAGTTCGGAGCCTCGGGTCTCCCCACGCCCCACCGAGCCTCGTGAGCTGTGTGACATGACCTGCCAGGCCTGCCGCAGCGTTGCTCGCGTGGCTCGTGTGATGCCATGTTTTTGACCCGTCGAAGCACCCGACTTTGTCACCAGTCAACATCCTCCACCTCTCTCGTATGAACACCTAGGCCGGTTTCTCCTGATTTTCTGCATCTGTTCCCTCTTGCGTATGGGCTGTATTTGGAAACAACAGGACACTCTGGCAGCGCTGAGTATAAAACAACAATGGAGAGATGCTGCAGTACTTCTGTCTCAGGGAGTTTTGTCTTTGTCTCGTCAACTCCTTTCTCTCCCACCACCACGCTTGGAGCTCACTGTTGTGCTAGTACCTCTCCCTATTTTAATTGTCTAATAGAGACCGTAAGCTCCGCAGGGCAAGGGCCTGGTCTTTGTCCTTGTCCCTGTGACGCCACTCACATCAGCAGTGCTATCTAAATAATGGTTACTGATAACAAAATGCAGCTGCCAATTTTCCTAAACTTGGAATCATTTCTCTCAACTCTAACTCTCTGATTAGACATTATCCCTGCTTCTCTGAAGAGAAAGATGACTCTGACAGCCAGGACTAGGGTAAATGATAGCTACTTATTATCGGGTGAATGGAGTCTCAAAATCAGGTGACTGAACAATAACAGGGGTAGAAAAATAAGAGAAAGAACGTATTTTACTTGTGTGGGGTTTTTGTGGTTTTTTTTTTTTTTTTGAGTAAACAAAGATTACATTTTTGAAGTACGTAAGGAACATGGCCTTGGTAATGTTTCAGGCACCCAGAGATGCTGTAAGGTTTATAATGTGCTTCTTCTACAATATAATACAATGCATCCCTTGTTTCTGCATATTTTTGTGAGTGTTATTTCATTGAAGTAGCGGAATTCAAGGCTTTGCTCCACATTCTGGGATTTTATATCTAATTTCTGCAACGTGTGTTAGGATAGGCCCTTTCCCCCTTCATCCCCGGTGAAGCTGCCCTGTGGAAAACAACTCCGTGTGTGCCTATTTGGAGCTTGCTTTAATTTCTGCCGAGGAAAGGGCCTTAAGTTGCCGTGGATCAAAGTGGGGGGCTGCGCAGAACCTTCTGATACTGAATTTACTTTTTCATCAAAGGCTGGTTCCCTCTGAAAAGCCTCGCTCCCGCTTCCGACGGCTGGCTGCTGTTCTCCACAGAAAGACCCGTCCCTGCAGTACTGCAGGGGGCACCGCGGCGGTGGAAGATGAGCGAGCGTTACACGGTGTAGTAATTGGTTTCATTTCGCACTGCACAGCACAGCCTTTGTTTGGGGATCGTTTTGATTTAAACAGTAATCTAGGTCTGCCGCGGAAATAAATTATTCAGGACCGAGGGGCAGAATATGGTTCTGTAACAAGCCTGAGCCAAACCATCCTGATAGCGAGTTTTGACCCTTCTGGGAAAGGGTTAAGTGGGTTCTGCTGACTCACGGAGGTAGGTGGCTTATTAGTTCACTTGTGTAAAAGGGAGATAAAAATGGTTTGCTGGGGAGAGGCCATCTAAGATGCTGGCTGAGCAGTCATGAGGGAAAAGCCTTAGAAATAGCTGAACTTTATTTTCTTATTGCTTATATCCTTGTTAATAAAGCCAAACCCCCAAAGCAATAAGGGGGTGGGGATCGTTTTGGACTCCATTCAGTGTACGGCCTGTGCTTGAAGGCGAGATGGGAAAGGCTCCAGCTCACAGGTATAAATTACATGAAACAGTGACACAAAGACCTTGCATGGTGAAAATATTAAAGCATTCAGTCATAAGACCAATAACCAGGAGAGACAGAAATGGAAAGGTTGAAGGCAGGCTAGAAAGTCAGGTTTTAAGATGAGAATTTAGAAGGAGATGGGGAATCGGTGAAAGGGGAGAGGTCTGCGCAGATTGTTTCAGGTGACCAGAGCTGCAGAGTGAATGGTTTTTCAGCGATGACACTGGTCTGACACTAGATTAAGAGAGTAGGTAAGTATCCATATTTATCTAGGGAGGATTTTTCAGCAGAGATGTGCTGGGGCTGATGTTTTTGCTCAGCCTCAGTTTGCTGCTGTAGGCATGAGGGGGGTTTTGGCACTGTGTAGTCGAAGGTGAAAGTGCAAGGAGCACCCATACAGTCAGTTAAGAATGTAAACACAGGAACATCAGGAAGGCTGTATGGGGTCAGACCAAAGGTCCGTCTGGCTCAATATCCTGTCTCTGACAGTGAACAGTGGTGAATACCTGGGGAAGAATATAAGAGCAGTGATATAAGCGATAGTTCCCCAGCATGATCTTCCAGCTTCTCATCATTTGCAACTCAAGGACTTCCTGAGCCAGATGTGATGGTTCTGTATTTAATAGCCCTGGATAGATTTTCCTTCCATGGAGGTGCCTAGTCCTTCCTGAGTTACAGCCGTTACAGCCTCGTACCCACTAGCTCCCGCGATCTCTTGTGGCAAGAAGTCCCACACCTTACCCTGCAGTGAATGCTGAGCCATTCCTGTTGGTCAGCTCTGAACCTCCTCCGATGCCAAGATGATCTCTGGTTAGTATCGACGTGCCCCACAAGGTTTTACCCGCCTCTGTCACGATGCCCCATCCTTAGCTCTCCGTTTTTCAGCCCGAGTTACTCATTTGTTTTACGGGACCTGCTCCATGATATTCCTGGCCATTCTCCAAACCCCCTGCGCTTCTGCTTTCTTGTGCTGGAGGTGAGGGACCAAATGCTCACACAGTATTCCTGGTGCAGGTGCAGCAGGGATTTGTCCTGTGGCGTAATAACCTTCCTTGTTCAGTTCCGTCTTCCTTTTCTCTTAACTCCTAACCGTTTGCATGCTCTTTTGGGCTGTTTCTGAGCACCAAGGCGACATTTGCATGGAACTGTTATTTATATCCACAAAACCGTGTTGCTGGATGGCAAGATCATAATTTCATATGTTAAGTTTTCCTGTGTGTAATGCTTCCCATTCGTTAGCCTTGGATTTCATCTGCCGTCGTAGTGCTCAGTCCCGTGAAGTCCTTCTGCATTTTTTCACAGCCAGCCTCTCATTCCTACTGCTCTTGTTTCCTTAATGTCCTTTGAACAACGCAGAATCCCAGCGTACGTGGGAAGCGAAGATGTTAAGGAGGGGTACGTGAGCGAGAAGCCCATTTGATGTTGGTCTGAGTGACGTAAGAAGGAAGAAAGCGATGAAAGCTGGAGAGCTAGGAGATAAGAAAGTTCAAAAAGAGATCTAAAGGCAGTAGGGAAATTAAGGAGGAGCCTACCTTGGACGGAGACGGTAAGATACGCACGTAAGACAAAGAGGCTAATGCTAAGTATTAATTTGTTTAGATGTATAAAATCTGGGGAAAGGTTATGGGGCAACCTCTGTGGGAAAGAAGGAGATGGTGGGATTTACAGAAAGTAGAGGTTTGTGAGAGATGTGAAGGGGAACGGTGAGAGAGGTGACAGACATTAGTGGGACATAGGTGATAAAATTACATTTGTGCTAGACTGGGAATTCAGAGTGGCAGAGGCAAGTTCAGAAGGAAGCGGAAATGTGCCAGACATGAGTTGTTCCTGGTGTAACAGCTGCACCCTGCACGGTAGTTAGTACTCCTAGGTGTGGGGCCATGGCCCGTTTCCACCCCCCACCCAGGATTTTCAGGGCAGTTTGATTTATTGCACGCAGCACTCGTTTAAACTGGATAATTTTTAAAGGAGTTTAGCACCATTTCCTTCTTTTACAGCTCCTTGAGAACTGTTTACGCATTAGCTGTAGCGGAGAGCGAGGTGAACTACGAGACACAAAGTTCTACTCGGGGATGGTTACGTTGCATTGCCTGC